TTCTTTACCTGGTGGGGAGGCCCTACACCTCATTCCTGAAGTATCTAAGTCCTTATTGATTCTGCCTTTGGTGAGTTGCTATAGCCTTCCACTAACTTTTAACAACTGAACACAGAAGCACTATGGAGGCACTCCAGAGAGTGCCCTCCATTGTTCAGCAACAGCCATATTTCCCTTGATAATTGAGATCAAGCAGCCCAGTCAATACAATGAGCCCCTTTTCCCTTTGGTTCAGTGGCACAAGAACCCTAAATGCCCAAATGGGAATCTCAACTTCCAGTCCATTGAGATCACTGTTCATTTCCTAGTGGACATATTTCCTCCCTTGGGAACCCAACCAGCAGATTCCAAAGTTGTACGTACAGAAGTCAAAATTCTGTGAGCAGGTTATTAGATGTAATACTGAGAAGAGTCATTCTCACTGTCCCCCATCCCCTGATTCCTGGACCCTTTGATTCAGTGGACATCTCACTAGCAAAGAGCATTCCTAATGCCCAAATTGTGGCTTATAAATGCCATTCATACTTAAAAAAAAACAAAAACAAAAACAAAACACCACCACCTCCTTGAAGAATGGCTGATTAAAGGTAAGGGATGAGAAATATTTAAAGAACCTGGAAAGGCTTCTTGCATCAGGAAGTAAGGCAGTTATCAAAAATCACTGGAGTCCTGTCAAAAAGACACAGTTTTGGGGATTTTAAAGCCCAACTTTAAAGGGCTCTCACTAGCTTTAGTAGGCTGTATAATGGCCCCCAATTATATCAGGTCCTAATCCTTGGAAAATGTGTTTCCTTATACAGCAAAGATTTCACAAATGTGATTAAGGACTTTGAGAGGGGGAGAATATAGGACCTCAGGGTATTGTCCTAAATGCAATCCTATAGATCTTGATGAGAGGGATGCAGAAGAAGATTTGCCACACAGAAGAGAAAGCCATGTGACCATGGAAGTTGATTGGTGTGATGTGGCTACAAGCCAAGGACTACCAGCAGCTACCAGGAGCTAGAAGAGGCAAGGAACAGGTTCTCCCCGACAGCCTTCAGAGGGAGCATAGCCTTGCTGACGCCTTGATTTTAGCCCAGTGAAACGGATTTTGGGTTTCTGGCCTCCAGGACTGTGAAACAATAAAATTTTGTTGTTTTAAGCCACCAAATTTGTGATAATTTGGTACAGTAGCCACAGTAAAATAATACACTAGCCTAAGATGGAGCATTTTGAGCATCAAAATAACTGCAGTGAATCACAGCATATAAATTACATTTTTAAACCACGAGTTCAAAATGATACCAATACTCACTGGGGCGCCTGGGTGGCTCAGTCGGTTAAGCGTCCAACTCTTGATTTCAGCTCAGGTCATGATCTCAGGGCCTGAGATCATGTGAGCTCCACATCAGGCTCCATGTTCAGCTTGGAGTCTGCTTGGGATTCTCCCTCTCCCTCTCCCTCTGCCCCTTCCCCCACTGCACTTTCTCTAAAATAAGTAAATATTTTTTTAAAATGATACCAATGCCCTACATACACCAATTTGTCAGTAGGTAAACTATTTAGTGTTCTAAAAGCTGACAATGGGAAATTACTTCAGTGGAATAATACAGTTAGAAAAGTTTTGCTTTATAGAAAAATTTAAAGAAAGATTTGTAGAATTAAGATGTCTCCATTTTGCAATCCATTATGAAATAACAGCAATGATCATCAATGGCTGCTGAAACAATTAGGTGAGAGAAGGTTATGGGGAATTCATAATCAGGCTGACAACATCCAAACCCCACAGTTCAATCAATCCCATCACTTTAAAAAAAAAAAAAAAAAAAGACATGTGCCTCCTGATGGGATGCAACAAGAAATACAAAATACCATCTATGACATTCTCTTGACAAAATTTCAAAACTGAGTCTGCTGAAGCCTAGATCTAAGTACCAGTTTACAAGAAATATTTGGGACAGGAATATGTTCAGTGATAAAAACTGATGGGATCCTATCAGCAGAATCCTAAATATAGGAAACTATAGAGGGAAAAGACCTAGAGTTTGTTCAACAAGTTGCCAAAAATACAAAAAAAAAAAAAAAAAGCACAAGGAGAAATCTATAAAGACTTGAGGGTTCAAATGTCACTGTTTCTGTAAACCTTTAAGAGACTTCTTGAAATAGCAAGTCCCAACACATGAAGAACACGACTCTCCACTATACCCCTTATATCATTCCAGCATCATCCTCTGTCCTCCCACCTTACTCCAATTAAATTTCACGGCCCATCATTATGGTCACTCCCTTGCACATAACATCAACTCCTTTGCCTCTCTCTCATACTTGCTTGGATAAATCATGAGCCTGGGTAAATCCTGCTCAATGTGCCTGTACTCTTGCTGCTGAATGTGGATGAATGGCTGATTTCTTTTTAGACTCACTCTCCTTAATGTCATTGGATCCTTAATGCTGCCTGGCATCATTTTCCCCCACTTGGTCTGGCTTCTTGTCCAGTTTCCAATTTGATTCAATCATACCTTCTCCTCTTCCCAAACACTTCCAATATCTCCTCCATCCTCATCTGATAAAATCATCTTGCCCTTCCAAGATGTCCATCGACAGATGAATGGATAAAGAAGATGTGGTATATATACACAATGGAATATTATGCAGCCATCAAAAGGAATGAGATCTTGCCATTTGCAACGATGTGGACGGAACTGGAGGGTGTTATGCTGAGTGAAATAAGTCAATCAGAGAAAGACATGTATCATATGACCTCACTGATATGAGGAATTCTTTTTTTTTTTTTTTAAAGATCTTATTTATTGGGCGCCTGGGTGGCTCAGTTGGTTAAGCGACTGCCTTCGGCTCAGGTCATGATCCTGGAGTTCTCGGATCGAGTCCCACATCGGGCTCCCTGCTCAGCGGGGAGTCTGCTTCTCCCTCTGACCCTCCTCCCTTTCATGCTCTCTGTCTCTCATTCTCTCTCTCACAAATTAATAAAATCTTAAAGAAAAAAAGATTTTATTTATTTATTTGACAGAGAGAGACACAGCGAGAGAGGGAACACAAGCCGGGGGAGTGGGAAAGGGAGAAGCAGGCTTCCCGCGGAGCAGGGAGCCCGATGCGGGGCTCGATCCCAGGACCCTGGGATCATGACCTGAGCCATAGGCAGACGCTTAACGACTGAGCCACCCAGGCGCCCCTGATATGAGGAATTCTTAATCTCAGGAAACAAACTGAGGGTTGCTGGAGTGGTGGGGGTGTGGAAGGGATGGGGTGGCTGGGTGATAGACATTGGGGAGGGTATGTGCTATGGTGAGCGCTCTGAATTGTGCAAGACTGTTGAATCACAGATCTGTACCTCTGAAATAAATAATGCAATATATGTTAAGGAGAAAAAAAAGAAGAAGATAGCAGGAGGGGAAGAATGAAGGGGGGTAAATCAGAGGGGGAGACGAACCATGAGAGACGATGGACTCTGAAAAACAAACTGAGGGTTCTAGAGGGGAGGGGGGTGGGGGATGGGTTAGCCTGGTGATGGGTATTAAAGAGGGCACATTCTGCGTGGAGCACTGGGTGTTATGCACAAACAATGAATCATGGCACACTACATCAAAAACTAATGATGTAATGTATGGTGATTAACATAACAATAAAAAATTTTAAAGAAAAATCATCTTGCTATTTCACTGAACAAAATAAAGGTAATAATCAAAAGAGAACTTCCAAGACATCCAAATGGCTAATAAACATAGGAAAAGCTACTTAACATCATTAGTCATCAAATGCAAATTAAAACCACAATCTGATACCACCACCACTCACCAGAATGGCTAAAATGACAAAGCCAGATAGTAATACAGGCATTCCTCAGAGATATTGCGAGTTGGGTGCCAGACCACTGCAATATAGCAGATAGTGCAATAAAGTAAGTCAAGTTAATTTTTTGGCTCCCCAGTGCATATAAAGGTAACAATTATGCTATATTGTGGTCTGTTGGGTGTGCAACAGAATTATGTCAAAAAAAAGTACGCACCTTAATATGAAAATACTTTATTGCTAAAAAATAAAATGCTAACCATCCTCTGAGCTTTCAGCAAATTTTTGCTGGTGGAAGGTCTTTGCCTCGAAGATGGCTGCTGACTGATCAGGATGGGGGTTGCTGAAGTTGGGGTGGCTCTGGCAGCTTCTTAAAATAAGACAATGACGAAGTTTGCCCCATCTATTTTGACTCCTCCTTTCACAAAGAATTTCTCTGCAGCATGCAAAGCAGTTTGACGGCATTTTACTCACAGTACTTCCTTCAAAATTGGAGTCAGTCCTCTGGCCGCTGATTTATCAACTAAATGAGTGTAATAATATTCTAAACCCTTTGTTGTCATTCCAACAATCTTAACAGCATCCTCATCAGTAGACTCCACCTCAAGAAACCGCTGATCACCATAACAAATATAATAATAATGAAAAAGTTTGAAGTAGTGCCAAGAATTACCAACATGTGACGCAGACATAAAGTGAGCAAACGCTGTTGGAAAAACAGCACAAGACTCCCTTGACGTAGAATTGCCACAAACCTTCAATTTGTGTGAAAAAGAAGCACAATTCAGGGAAACACAAAAAAGCAAGGGATGCCTGTAGTAATGAGGAAGCAAATGGGACTTTCAACACCTTGCTGGTGGGAGCTGAATTGGGTCGGTCATGTTGTAAAACTGCATGACACTATTCACTAACGTCGAGCATGTGTATACATAGGGCCCATGAGTTTCTCCCCTAGATGTATACCCAACTGAAATGTATACATATTGTCTATAAAACAGGTTCCAGAAGGTTCGCAGGAGCCTAACTCAGACAAAAGCTAGAAACAACCCAAATGTTCATGAACACTAGAATGAATAAACTATGGTATATTCGTATAATGGAGTATCGCACAGCAGGGAGGATAAATGAACTACCGCTACCCACAGCAACACAGGTTAGGACTCATATCGAGGTGAAGGAGCCATAAGCAAAAGAGAATATATAGTACTTACAAGAAGTTCAAAGGCAGGCCAGATCATCTATGGTGTCAGGACTGCAGGTACTTTTGCAGCAGCATGCAGAGTAGCTGGAAAGGGAAACAGGAGCACTCTGGATTGCCGATAACGTTCCATCTCCCGACCTGGGTTCTAGTTACACAGGTGTGTTCATTTCGTAAAAATTATCGAGCTACTGATTTGGGATTTTTGTACTTTCCTGTATGTGTATTATACCTCAGATAAAACGTTAATGAAAGGAGAGAATGACACTCCACAAACTGACACCACCACATGGACCCATCTATGGGCATCCGAGCCCATCCTCCCTGCCTTCACGCCTGTTACTGGGGCGAACTGCTGTTCATGCTTCTGTCAAAGACAAGCCTTTCCTCCTGTGCCCCCACAGAATTACCCCCTCTCTTCACAAGGATGCCACTCTGGTCTCCCTTCTCGTTCCTACACCTTTTCTCTCGACTAGATCTTTCCCATCAACCTACAAACACGCTCTCACTTTTCTAATTTTTAAGACCACCTTCTCATCCCTCAGTTACTGTAGTTTTTCCCCTTCTCTTAGGCTAAAGCACAACTCAAAACAATCATCTATACTTGCTGATTCCAGATTAGTTCTAATACTCTTCTTTGAACCACTCCAATCATGTTCTCCCCTCCATGCTCCACAAAGGCTGATCTTCTCATCCACTGTTAAGCCCAACAGTCACTTCATCATCATCATATTCCATGATTTTCAGCCGCTTGAGGCATAACCATCAAACTCCCTCTTTCTCAAATCACTTTCTCCTCTAGGCTTCCAGAACACTGCATACCCAATATGCCTTCTACCACACTAGCTGCTTCGTTCCAACTTTCTTTTATGGGTTCCACCTTATCCCCTGACCTCTCGTTTTGGAGACCCTCAGAACTCATCTGGGGGCTTCTTCTCTGTTTTCTTATCCAGTGTCATATGCACCCTGTGTAAGTGGAGGAATGCCAGTAAAGTGGCTCCAGTCTGGATCTTTCTCCCACTCCGGTTCCTCACACATTCGTCTCCTCAGCATCTCTACCCAGATGTCTAACAGGCATCTCCAATTTTGTATGTGCAACATCAAACTCCTGTCTTCCCCTAAGAACCCACTGACCGATTTCCCATCTTGGTTAATGGAAACTATCCTTCCAACTGATCATCAGGACAAAACCCTTGGAGACATTCTTAACTTTGCCATTTCTCTCATAAACAACCAACCTGTCAGCAAATCCTCAAACAACCTTCAGAGCATTTCCAGAATCTGAGCACTCTCACCATCTCCACTTCTGTAACCCTGGTCTAAGCCAACATCACTAGGTGCCAGGATTATTGCCATAACTTCCTAGCTGGCCTCCCTTCCCCCCCCCCCCCACACACACACAACCAAACCCCCCGCCAGTCTGTTCTCGGTGCGTTAAAATGTTAACCAGATCATGTCAGTCCTCTGCTCAAAACCTTCGGGTGGCCCATTTTGCTCAAAGACAAATTCCATGTAATAGGGAAGTAGCCCCTTCTCCCCGTACTGTTACCCTACTCCATGGCCTCCTTGCCATTCCTCAAATGAGGCAGACCAGCTCCTACTTCAGGGCCTTGCAAGTCTCCTCTTGGCCTAGAGGCTCTTCCCCCATTTATCGTCATGGATCATACCTTCATCCTTTTCAGATCTTGACTCAAAAGCCACTTTTTCATCGAGGGCCTCCCTGCCCACAGCTTTTACAATGTTAAGCACTCTCCCTTTTCCACCCCACTCTCCTAAGGTCTCCATCACTTCCTTCAATTTCTCTCTAGCACCGCCTCCTTCTAACGTAAGTATGTATGACTTATCTGTTGGCAGCCAGTTTCCTGACAGTATGTGAACAACAGGAGCTTGAGGATTTCTGTTTTGTTGACTGCTCTATCCCCCAGTGTCATGAACAATGCCCAGTAAATAGTAAGAGCTTAGTTAATATTTGTGGAATGAACACAGGAGTTATGTCAATCCTTGTCAGAGGCTTCACAGAGATGGGAACTATATCTTAAGCATCTTTGTAATAAATGACTGACTGAATGGAAGAAAGAAGAACAGGCCTTCAGTCCAGTTAAGGTACCTAAGGTAGGCAGTGTATTTAATTGTTCTTTCCATTTTTATTTTTAAATTTTCTTTAAAGATTTTATTTATTTAAGAGAGCGAGAGAGAGAGAGCACAAGCAGCGGGAGTGGCAGGCAGAGGGAGAGGGAGAAGCAGACTCCCCGCTGAACAGGGAGCCCGATGTGGGGCTCAATGCCAGGACCCTGAGATCATGACCTGAGTCAAAGGCAGAGGCTTAATCAACTGAGCCACCCAGGTGCCCCTGTTCTTTCCATTTTTAATGCAAATACTTGATCTCCCCATATAAATCAGGCCATTTGTTTCCAAACAACTGTTGGGATTGTTATCAACTACCTTTTCTTCCTTCCTTAAATTTTCACTCAATCAAGAGCAAAGATTACAATAGGCAGAGTGTGCAACAAAATATAGTTATTAAAGCAATGCTTACCAAATCAAAGAGAGGAAATATTCAAACTTTGAGAGGTAATACAAACATCATTGCTCAACTCACTTATGATTGTTCTTGATCAAAGTTTAAAGGAACAGGTATGACTCAGAAAGGAAAAATCAATAGATATGATAGTTTAATCGTATGATTTCGAAAAATCAATAGATATGATAGTTTAATCGTATGATTTCGAAAATCGTATGATTACGATAGTTTAATCATATGACTCAGAAAGGAAAAATCAATAGATATGATAGTTTAATCGTATGATTTTGAAAAATCGTATGATTTCGATAGTAAAATCGTATGATTTTAATTGTATGATTTCACTAAACAAATGAGGGAGAAATTTGACCCTTCTGATATGAAGACCTCATGTTATTAAATAAAGAGCACCTCCTATTCACCCGAATATATTTCTAGAGAAAATTTCAGTGCTTGGAAAATTCCAACAACTTATTCCCCCCCCCCAAAATGACAAGTTCACATTTTTATCTTTTTAATTTATATTTCAAAATTACAATTTATTTCACACTAAAACTTATAGAGGAAGTTGACCATGAGACCAAAGACCTGAGTTCTTTTCTCAGAACACCCGCACTCAGGGGAACATGTGCCCACTTCCCACAGCAGCAGGGCACCACCTTCCAACCCCCCCCACCCCCCAGGAGGAACAAGGACAGTCACAAAGGCTAGTAGGTGGAGAGGCCCATGATCCCCACAGCTGGGGACGGACCTCACAGGGCTCATCTGCTGAGCACGTGACCATTCACTGGTCGTCTCTGGCGGGGCTGGGAGCAGGCGAGGAGGAAAACTACTGCAGCGTAGGTAAGGTGGGGTGGCGGTGCCCATCACTGGGGGGGTACGACCTTACAAGTAACAACTTCCAAATATAAGATTCACTGTGTCAGACACAGTGATAACTAGGTCAGAATACGTGGATGGCAGGGAAAGTCGACTGAGAGAAAACTTGATTAAGTGAATCACAATCAGAGATGAACACGTTAGTGACATCATGACATCATAGGATCATTCAACTTGTGCATCCATCCCTTTTCCAGAGCACAGTGCAAGCAGAAGATCAGCTGCGCTCTGTATAAGATATGCCTGTCTTTTTATAGAACATCCCTCGCCCCTCACAGACAAAGAGCCAGTTGCCTTCCGATTGTCTGATACTTGTCTCTGGAGCTTCAGAAAGACATCTTTCACTGGGTAACATTTATTGGGGGTGGGGGAGAGGTTGGACGGTGGTGAACACACACAACGGTCCCCCCACAAGGAAATGTATAAATCCCAGAACTACAAATAGTGACACTCCCACTCCTATACTTAAGACAGACGTTTGACTGACAAGGCCTAACTTGGGATGCCCAGACTTCCTGCTTTAGCAAGATGGTCCTAGTTCATTCTTGTTTCCCAACATAACTATTACTAGTGCAGCACCCTGCCCCCACTGAAATGTGTTCCCGTTTGGACAATAAATTATATGGTGGCCTTACCTAAATTGCTATTATCTTTGTTATAGAACATTAAGCTTTGGCTGTGAAGCTGGCAAATTAGTGCTGTTAACTGTCTCATAAGGATATGGGTGGTCACATTGGTTAAACTGCCCTGCCTTTTCCCTTACAGAGAAGTCATAAATCTGTCAATGTAAACAAAATGAGGAGGGCTTTTAATAATGACAGAATCAGTTCTGTTCCTCTATATTCTTTTGAATCTGCTATTTAGATACCCTGCCATGAGCACTTTGGAATAATGGAGATTAGTTACGAGAAAAAGTTTTCCACTTTTATTTCTGGCTTACTAGACAAAAAGCAGAGGTAAGGGCTTTGAATCAAGAGCTATTTATTTTTAAGTTAATAATACAAAAGGCCCTCTCTTTCCATTAAAGTCCCACCCCACCCCCACTACCAAGCCTAGAATTATTAGAACCAGCGTCTCCACAGAGTAGAAAAGCAGACACCAAGCATTCAACTGAAATCCGGGTCCCCTGCCACACTGCCCTCCCTTCCTCTCCCAAATAGCTGGCTCTTACTCTGACTCTGTGAGAATGTCAGTGGGGAAGCTATTAGGAGTGGGGTGAGTGCACACCCAGTGTTCACCCGGGACAGCAAGTTGTAAGGCAGGAGATCTACTTACCCACACTCCCATAGCACCCCCTGACTTGGGGATGCCAAGAATTCCAGAGCCCCGGTCCCCCACCTCACTGTCCCAGCACCCCCTGGGCATGTTTGCACATGTTCCTGCCCCACAGGTAGCACTTCTCTGATAGGGTATCTCAGAGTTTAGTCCCATAGATGGCCTTATAACGTAAGTACTCTTCTAAGCACTGAAGAACATTGTCATCCACCTTTGGGTCAAACTTGTTAGCCAACAGGTGATGGTTTTGAAGAATCCAATGCAGGTCCCCCGTCCCATAAACACAGATAGACCGCCGGTGGGTTCCAGAGCAAGGTGCATAAGGTGCCCCCATACTGATGTCTCCCTCATGGCCTTGCCACTTGACCAGCCTGGCAATGGCTGTCATGTCGGAGATGTGAAACTTGGGGTGGTAGGGAAGAGAACCCGGCATCCATGGTGCACGCTGAAGGGTGGCCCACAGATGTTCATCAGGGCTATAGGTGTCTTTCACCCACTCGATCAGTCTTTGGGACTTGGGGTTCTCCAAGACGTGCTGGACAAATTCTCGAGAAGCCACAATATAGGCATTCCCTGTGAACATAGGTATATTATCCGGGGGAGGATCCTTCATCTTGCTGGTTATGTACAATGTGTCTGTCACCTCATAGTGATATGTCCAGCGAGACCTTTTGTACTCAGTAGGTATTTCTGACTCCATACTGTTCTTCCCATTCAACATCTTGAGGGCCAGGACCATCTCGGCATTGGTCTTTATAGGAAAGTCCGTCCCACATGTATTCAGTAAGTATCTCCATGGCACTGAGCTCTGGAGCAAGTCCTCCATACAGTTGAGGTCAGCCTGCACCCTGGACCAGGAGGCATAAACCACCCGAACCAACTTACTGGCTATGAAGACATTTGGGAAGCACGACACAATCGCCTTGACTGCCTCTTTGAAAGTTTCTGGGGATTTCTCATCCACGTGGACACAGTATATGTTCTGAGGGGCATACAAAGCTCGCAGCAGTCTTTCGAAGTTCTCAATCTTCTCGTGGACCACCATAGAGTATGCAATAGGGAAGTCTAACTCTTCTTTGCTCAGAGGGAACCGTATGAACTTCCTTTCGGCCTTAAAGTGCTCACAGTCTCTGGTCATGTTAAGGTAGTCGGTGTCTGTGAAGGGCTCCCGCTTCTTCTTGACCTCCAGGTTGTCCAGGAGAGCCTCTGTCACTGCCTGCTGGTCCCCTCGGATGATTCCAGAACAGTTGATGGATCTCTTTGCTGGCAGCTTCAGGGACTTGTACAAGATGTCCCTACAGTGCTGGCTCCGAAAGTCCCTGGACTCCAGATCCAGGGACTCAAAGTCACATTTCAACCTGAGAGAAAACCTCAGAGCAACCACGGCCAGCAGCATATAGCAGACCAGGGCCCACAGGTGATGCTGATGAAAGGGCTTCTTCTTCCACCAAACCATCTTCACGGAATGAGAAACCAGCAGAGTTGGGGCACAGGGAAGGAGGAGATGGATGGAATCCTTGGACAGAACAAAATGCCTTCAATTACAAACTAACCCTGAATGTATTCACAGGAACATCAAGCTCAACTCCAAAGGGGTATTTCTTCTCTAGACAAACATCCTCAGTCAAGACCTGCCTAGGAACCTCTTATCCCTGGCTTGTTGACAGAGGTCTATAATCTGACCCTACAAACAAGCCATTCATGCTGGGATCAGGATCTGGCCCCACCTCTGCCCCAAGAGAAAAGGAAAGGGAAGCAGAACTGAGCACCTGCTGACGTTGAGGTGTAAGGAGTAAGAGGAAGTCCCTGCCCGCCTTTCATTCCATCACCTCCCCCGCTCAAACCTTTACCACCCTGTTTCTAACATAGCTCTTATCTGGGGCCTAGAACTCCTAATCAGTTTAGAGAGACACTCCATGAAATTCAGACTCTCAGCCATCTGTTCTAGAAATCCAAAGATTTAAATCCTTTTAAAAGAAAAAGTATAGGGGCATCTGGCTGGCTCAGTTGGGACAGCATGCAACTCTTGATCTCAGGGTCATGAGTTTGAGCTCCACGTTGAGTGTGGAGATTATTTAAAAATAATTAAGCTTTTA